CAGAAGGTTCCACAAGGTTCCATGAAGGAATGTTCTAGAAGGTTCCAGAAGGTTCCAGAAGGTTCCATGAAGGAATGTTCTAGAAGGTTCCAGAGGTTTCACAAGGTTCCATGAAGGAATGTTCTAGAATGTTCCAGAAGGTTCCAGAAGGTTCCATGAAGGAATGTTCTAGAAGGTTCCAGAGCTTTCCAGAGGGTGATTCATAACAAGTGTCGAATTGCCAAAGAGCAAATTTCCTTGAGAAGGCGTGTTTGCTTTTCAGACCTGCCAAATTGGTTCATGCCTCTGCAGGCTTTCATACTGGGCAAAATGCTGACAACACCAACAATTATTTTTTTTTTTTTTTTTTTTTTTTTTTTGCGCAGTGCAGCCTGCAGCATGTATCTAATATCTCTGAACCGACAGAAAACCTCATTTCGGTATCCATTGCGCATACCACTATTATGCCAAACCCCATTTTATCTGTTATCAGTGAATGTATTTGGACCTTCAAGCATGTGCTTTTACCCAAAATTCTGTGGTATTTGCAGTCATTAGACGCGGTCCAGCATTGGGTCACCTTGTGCTGCAATTTTGCAAATGGTATCTGACACATTTTTGCTGTCACAGGTGCATGGCAGGGGTTCAGACAGAAAAATTGACTGCATTGCATTTTGTGAAGTCCAATGGCTTTGGGGAGTGGTCCATTGTTTGATTTACATACTTTGCCCTGCAGCCTGGTCTCTGAATCCGCATTGGCATGCCATTTTGAGAATGGAGAGTCAACACAAAACCCAACAATCCTATGATCATATGCAATCTCTGCCACACATTTTGAATGCTTCCTTGAATGAGAAAGTGTGAAAAGAATAGGATCAATTGGCAACCATCTCCAAACTATAATATGGTGCTGCACTGCAACTGCTTAGCGGGTGCGGCTGTTAGGCATGGTCAGCACACCGCAAGGTTGGTGGTTCAAATCCACCTGGTAGCGATATGGGTTGTAGATTTGTGTGGACTGTTGCCTGGAAGTGCCAAGGGGGTCACTCTCAGGAAACCAAAACCATCACTTGCCAAAGCAGGGCCATAAGCTCCAGAGTCTTTTCTTTCTGATTTTGCGATCATATGCTGCAATGAGGGCAACAATCTCCCTGATGTCGCAAGGTTGCCAGCAGCAGAGCTGACAATGATTTCTAGCAGTGGTGGACAGCTGCAAAGCATTTTACAAGTAGCGTCTGCCACAGAACAGATCCCCATTTGGGTTTGATTTGATTTGATTCTGCTTTCCAGACCCAAATGACAAGAAAAAATGTTGAATCTGACAAATGGCTGTTTTTGCACTCAAATTGCGCCAAATCAAATGGAATTTCGATTTTTTACTCATAAAACCTGAACCAAATCGAATTGAAATAACTCTATACTGGAGAATTCATTTGATTCAAGTCTGATTCGAATTCAAATCAAACTCAAATTTATTTCAGATTTGACCCAGTTCAGTCTGTGGCAGACCCTATTCAGGAGAAGAGGCACAGCCTGGAGGCCACCTTCCTTTGTTTACCTAGAGGCTACCGCCACTGGCCTGGGGGGTAGATGGCAAAAATTTGTCTCTTGCCCCAACCAAGAGCAAAAAAATCTCTACAAATGCAAACAGCCTGAGTCAGCCATGAAGGATGTAGCTGGATGTTGGACCCCACTTTGTCAGTTTTTCAATAAAAGATAAGACGCTTCCCTCACCAGTCTTGTTTTGCCATTCTCGTCATTGCCACCATCACCGCCATCACAGTCTCCCCAGGCCCAACAACCTTGGCTGTCACCTTGCATTTGGGCCCATGACCTCATTTCTACGCAACCCCTCATAGCCCAGATACCCCTTTTAACCCTTCAACCCTTTCTGCGCACCAAAGACAGGAGGGTGTGGAGCGAGCGTGCCAGGGGTCGAACCTGGAATCTCTTGATTTGTAGTCAAGCGTTTTGCCACACGCCCTTGGGATGATGAGCACTTCTTGTGGCTTGTTACCCTATCTTGGAGCCTTACTTTGATTGATATCCAGGATCTGCTCACACTACATACCTTTGAAGAGTAATAGCAAGTAAAAATAACATTTGCACTGGTCCCAGTGCTATTGACACTTCTACTGCTTTTGAAACTGCACAAGCACTTGGAGGTGGTTTTGATATTCGCTTGGGTTGAAAACATCAGTGTGCCTCACCCAGCAATGTGATAGGAATGAGTGCATGTTTGGCAGCTTTGAATAGCCCCTGTGTATGCAGTCTTCCTTTTCCAGCACTGGCATATTGTGTGGAACATGTTTGAAGCTCAAGCACCTACCGTGCCCAGGCTTCACAGCAAGTTTTGCTATTAGTACTGAGGGGTCTCTGCACCACTATTGGGGGTATATATCAGTGGTAGATAGCTCGCTTCGCATGCGAGATGCCCAGGGTTCGATCCCCTGTGCCTCCACGGCGCTGGTGACATATGCATTGGAGCTTTCTGCGTCACTGCCATTCTGGTTGACCAATCTGACCAAAGGAGCTGTTGGGCGATCCACCCACTCACAAACCTCTTCCCTGGCTTGAACATCCACAAATCCAAGAAAACTACTAAGAATTTAAATTTTGTGTTTGATCACATAAAGTACTCGCCAAAAAGGAGTGACAAGGGCCACTTTGGCTGCAGCCACACCAAAATAACCAGCATACACACAAACAAAAACCCACTTGCACACCAAGAACAGCAGCATGTGCACAAAACACAGCACCTACAGTGCGGGACATCAAAATCAAGCAAATTTGGATTTTCTTGTTTCCCCATCAGATCTTTTTCCCCACTAAGGCAACCCCCCCAACTTCCTAGGCCCATTCGCTTCTCCTGCGTCTCCTGTATTAGATTCTTGGGTATATCACACTAGGTGTGGGTCATAGTAGCATAAGAGCTGAAGAACCTAATCTATGATTCAGTAAAACACATTGTATACTTTCACATGAACCTTTGACCCTTCAGAAAGAGGAATTGATTCGGTCATTTCTCTAACTTTTATAATTTTTCCACTATGTAGACTTAATTTTTAATCCTAGAACGAGGATTGCCACTTATCAGTACAATTAGAATCATTATCTTTGTGATAATGAAAGAGCTATTTGGCTCCTTGGTTAAAAAAATGGGTCTATGTAGCCTGGGAGCCGCCTCTTGATTATAGGTGTACATAATCATGTAAATGCTTCTTATCTCTTGTCTTTTCTTCCTGTCAGTAATTTTCATTCTTCCTTTCTTTTGCTTTCTTTTCCTCGTTTTCCTAATGCCACTTTCCCGATAAATAGTTGTCCTTGGAGAAGCAGCCTATATTAATCTCAACTATCTTTACAAATGTGACCCCAACCTCAATGAATGCCATCCCTAAGAATTCAGATTTGTATAAGTACTCTGAACCTTTTTTCATTCCCCTCTGTTTAAGGAAGCCTGCGTGGGCCTCTCCAATGTCGCTGTCGCAGGCTTGGTACTGAATCACACAAGTCGTCCTCTTAGTGAGGAGCGTTCAGGGAGACCTCTGACCATCTGTGAGATGCACGTTTGTGAGATTATAAAATCTCACTGATCATGGCCTTAGTTGTAGTCTCCCTAAAAGCTCTCCCCCAGTTGTGACTATGTTGTTATATTGGCCCCTAAATTTATTTTTATCTTCATTATCATTCATCACATCCCCTCACAGACTCTAGTGTTTATCACTATAAAAGAGCATCCTGCATTCCTTGTGCTGAATTGGCCCAAGCACAAGGGTCACGGAACAAGCTTTTCCCCAACTCGCCTTGGAACCGAGAGAGCTTGAGGTTCAGCACAGCGAGCGTTGTTGGGTCATCTCAAGCAATTTCTGACTGGCCAAACCCCCCAATAATCACCGAGGGGGGTGTTTTCAACCCAATGTCACCACCGCAACATTGCCGTTGCACTGATTTTGAGTGAGGCCACGCTGTCGCTGTCCGCGCTCGATCATGACTCTTGTGTCTGTGGTTAAGAATATGGCTGCAACTACAGGACTGCGTTGCGCAAGAGGGGTGGTGAATTTGATTTAGAACAGATTCACAACGCCTGTGTAGCTCAGTGGTAGCCTTTCACTTGAATCTTTGTGGTTGCAATGTATGGGTTCAGTATTCATTTTGCGCAGATTGGAGGTAGTGTTGAATCACTGGTACGTCTCTGATGGCACACCCGTGTCCCTGGCAGGGCCGCTCATAGCTTTACATGTATCTACTCTCATGACAACCCCCTCCCCCCGGTGATTCAGGAGCAGGCCGCGCCCTCTTCAGGCTTCTGACACCGCGTCTATGCTGCGAGAAACGCATTGCGTGGTATTCAACCCGTCCGAGCCCACACGTTCATCCAAGATCTTTCGCAACTGAAACACAACCTCGGCGGCTCGATACGTTTGCCTATGCCTGGCATCGAACACCAACAAGGTCGGCGTCGCGACATGAGCCAGGCAGTTTCGGGGAATGGACTGAGCACTGCACACGCAAATCACACAGTTTGGTGCAGATTTGCACTGATGAACGCTCGCTTTCCTTTCCACGATTCCAAGCACGTTTGTCAAGCATTTGCGGACCTTACTCTGCCAGTGCATCGTACCTCAATGGTGATAAGTTATCCTCACCCTTTTCAATGCTGAAGGATGTCGATTCGCCCCCTCGCTCGCCAACGCCATCTGATCATTCCTCCCAAAAATTTCAGGCCGCCCAACAAGCCAACAGAACTGCCTCCCAGGCCTGACACACATAACCCTGACCGATGCGCTTCCTTCTGCCCTTTTTGCTCTCGACGAACTCTGAGGAGGCGCGCCGACGGCGGCGGACGGTTCCGGATAGTTCCATCATTTCCGTCGCACAAACTTGTCTCCCAATTTGTCGCCCCTCACAAGAGCCTAGCTGGGAAAGCATGGGGGGTCTGGGTATCTGTCACTCAAGGGCCCAGGGTTCAAGTCAAGACGCCAGCTGTTGAAGGCAACAAGAAATAGTACGGTCTTGAATCACAAGGAGTGGTGCGGTGGAGATGCCTGACGACCCTGTAAGTCCGTAGTGCATGGGGTGGGTTTGCCAAGGTGAAAACTGGACGTAGTCTATAATGGTTCACCATTGATGGCGCTTTCTCTTCCCGTCAGCCCTTCGGGGCTGGAACAATATAATGTCTCCCAATTTGTCCTCAAAGGTGATGTTGTACAGAGCATGTATTTGTTCCTTCCACCCTTTCTTATGCTCGAGCTTTGGACACTTGGTTTAAAGTGCTCTCTCTTCGCTCCCGCCACCAGTTCTGGTTCATTCTGTCGCTGAGCACCTCCTGCGCGTCCAATGTGGTTGCCAGCCAATGCGCAAACAATCCCGACAACTCCCACCACTGTAAAACCTTGAGGTTGCGGGATATCGAAATTCGCGCGCAAAACTCACATGGGCTTGTTTCTTCTGAATCTACGAAATCAACTGCTAGACCGCGGTGAGCGCAGGCGAGACTGTTGGGAGACGATCACTGTTCTCGACTTACTATTGCGACAACACGTCCGTGGCGCGGCTGCCCACAGGTGACATCTGGCCGTTGGACGCTTCGCCTGCCGTGCTCAGTAAATCCAGCAACTGGCCATGGACGAGACCCAGAACCGCAATCAACTCTGGCGGAACGGATGGGATGAGGACGACGTTCCCACGGATGAGAGAGAGCACGCTGTGGCGGCGGCAACGGTGGCAACAGGCTCTCGACTTGCGAAGATCTGAGGGAGAACAGCCGAGTGCGGACGCTCTGCAAGGTATGTACTTCGCAGCCCTACGCACTGGTTCCACGGACGCACGTACCTACTCCATCTCAACGGCAGGACTTTGCAAACAAGGACATCCGCAAATTCTTCTCTGGAGCACGAACAGAGGCCGAGTGCCGCGCTGAGCGCCCGAGCGACAAAGAATCCGCGTATCTGGGATGGCTTTGCGATACTGGAGGAGCTTCCATTCGACTTGAAGTGCAATAAAACAAAAGTAATTTCTTGTAAAATGTTGAACTCTGAATCTGCGTCGGCCAGTGCCCGGTAACGGAGTGTGTACAGTTCTAATGTTAGTGACAAACCATTTTTATCTTTTTGGCGAAGCAGAGGGGCGGCGTCCCGCGATTGATCGCCTCCGTTGCGTGGGCCGGCTTTCCCAAAAATGTTGCAGCCTGCCCGGAGCGTATGAGTGTATTTTCCCTATTTGAGGAGCAAGCTGCGACGATCGAATGTTGCCACTACGAGACGGGCAGTTAGTTTAAGCGGAAAGTGCACGACGCACTTTATAATCACGGGCGCTGAACTGCGGCTTATGTTCGACGGGTCGATGATGTGCCTCTTTCACCGTCTGACTTGGACTCGAAATCGGCCCGGTCAGCTCAGTCCAGGCATCGACCTTCTGGAACAGTCGTGGAACTTAAGTCAACTATCCCATTTGCTGCGTCATTCACAACGAATAAAAAGCAGTCTGTTTTCATAATGACATGCCTGTGCCGCCAAGTAGCGGTCTCCGCAATGTGTGCGCAGGTGTGTCAGCAGACGGTCAGTCAGAATGAATGACTTCATCATTGCTTGGCATCCTCTGTTTTTTTTATTTCAGTTCCACACGTTAAAAGTTTTTTGCAAAGGGTACCCCAGTTCCAAAATCAAAGACCACTCCCGACTCCTTTCAAAACGAGGAAGGAGATATAAAATGATGAAAATAAGGACTGGTTAGTGTGGAATGTCGATCTAGCACAAAAGACAGAATCTCCTCACAAAATCAGCGAAGCAGATGGTTGTGCCGTCCACTTGAATTGAGAGATTCCTGACTAAGCGGGCAGGCAGCCGGCGGAAATTCTGCCCAGTTGAGAGGTCCCACACTTGCAGTTCATCGACAGTGCTGAGGACAAGTCGACCCGAGTCCACCACCACAGATGCAGACAAAGGGCAGCCCGTTCTGATTGTGGCAACGACGTTACCTGTCTCA